AAGGAAGAGTAAGGAAGTTGACCTTGATGGAGATATGCAAGGACCATTTCCTAAGCAAAGGGGGCCGAAACATTTTTTAAGTTCTGAGAAACAAGATAACATTTGGAAGTGGCTCAAACAGGTATTTCCCTGATTGGGAGGGGGGAGGAGGTACAGCACAATCAGTCATGGCCCAGGACTCCGACTCTGAATCTGACTCTGAAGAAGTTGCTCCAGCTGAACCTGTGGAATGTCAGCCTCAGGGCAGACAAAGCCAAGAATCAGCTGAGGCTGATCAAGCACAGGTGCCACCTGAACAGCTGGAGCAGTCAGATGATGATGACATAAGGCTTCCAAGTCCCCCGAGTAGGACAGAGAGCTGAGCAAAGATGTTCATTGAGACTCCTTGCTAGCAAGGGAGTAAGTCTCTTGGTTAAAGACAGCTGGTTGCAGCCTGATTTAACAGGCAGCTCTGACCCATGTCCCCTTGTTGGAAACAACCGTCTGATTTCCTGCTCTGGTGTGCTATTCCTCTGGATCCTGCTGGTGAAACTCTGACCTTGGACTGGCTGACAAACCTCATTTGGTTCTCTGAACTTTCGACTGGATTTTGACTGCTCTTCCGCCTGCTCCTGCTGACGCGGAAACCACCCAGGCAAGCCTTCTTTCCAGGAGACTTTCTGATTTACATTTCTTCCCTTATCAGCTATAAATTGCTTTCCTCACCTAGCAACTGTGTGAGTTGAGACCTGAAACAGGACATTCTGTTATTATACCCATTCTCAATAAAAGTAGTTATAGACTTCCTGTGGAGTTGATTTCCTGATCCTGGTCTACCTAATGGGGCTGACACATTCTCTATGCCTGGGAATGCTGGCAGCTGTGGACAGTCACAGCTGGCCTCTCTGAGCGAGTGGCTATTCAAGGTCAGACTTCCTAGTGCTCACCTTTCCTCTTTTAAGAGTCCTTTTGCTGGTGGTGGTTCAAAGGACCTTTCTCCACATAAGCCCAATAGCACCATGAATGCACCCTGGAATATTCTTTGCCAACACATCTTCATGATGTTGTCTTGATCTTGTCCTCAGTCCATAAGTTTCTTTTTTCTCTCTTTTTCTTTCTGCCACTCGACTCCCAATGACTCTGGGTATGAGGCATCAATGAGATCTAAACCACTAGCACTTTCCCTCTTATTCTGACAGTGTTTGAGGGAAGCCTGAAGATACATAGATCTCTTAGGCTATGGGCTCTTCCTCACAAAGCTGCATTAATGTGCTTTTCTCCAGATCCTGAGTTGGCAGAAAAATATCCTGGCGTAATTTGCATGGCAGTGCTCTGACCACTGAGCTCTAAACTCCATCACTAATATGGCTTGTGAGTGGTTCCACCTGTACAACCTCACTGTGGAACATTTAAGGTCACTGACTGGTGGATTTCCTGGTGTTGCTTCCCCTTCCGTCCAGCATCAGCATCACCTTAAAAGCAGGGTGGGCTTGGGTGAGTGTAAGTGGGTTGTTGAGATGGAGACTTAGCCTCCTTTCAAGCTGCCCAGGTGACAGATGGCAGGTGCAGAGATGCTTCAGACCAGACTATTTCTGAGGACAGAGTCTACTTCTGAAAGACTGGTAGACCCATGTCCAAAAAATAGTCCAGCTGACGGGTGAAGGAGGTGTGTGTTGGGGGAGGGGGAAGCAGGAGGAAGCTTGCATGGTGTTTTAAGACAGATCACTCCCACTTCATCCCAGCCTGTTGATTACTTCACCAACATGTCATCTGAGCTATTTTTGGACAAGACTTTAGAAGACTGGTAGATTAGTACACAATACCTAAGCAATGATCTAACTGACCAACTTTGTCATATATTTTGTAAGAAATATGCTTACCAAATCATGATCCTGAATATTAGTGAGAGCAGCCGATTATATTTTGAGACAAAGACATTTATTAAGATGGCTAACGCGCCATGTATGATCATTCTGACCATGTTGTAATCCATGCTTGTCAGTTAAGGTACTTCTTTGTTGCCTGCACACAATCAAAGGATAAGACAATTTGAAACACAAATATATGTGGCCTCGTGATGTTAGATCCAGTTAACCAATGACTCAGATAGATAAAAGTAAGGATTTAATTATACTGTCTAGTTAATGATACCATAGTTAGGGTGATGGCCAATAACCCGGATGACCTCATTATAAATTATGCACATTCATGAAGGATTAAGTTATAGTAACATAACATGATCATTCATATTATAAGCAGTATGATGGATTTCAGCTACTAGGGCCCCTTTAAAGTAACTGGAATGACTTCTTTACAGAGTGAACAAATACCCTGTGGGATTTGCAACCACAAAACATGTAGCTTGGATAGCTTTTGAAAGAAATGTCAAATATATTTATGGGGTACACAACAGGTACAAGTCACATGACCAACCAATTACTGAGGTTTAGCCAGAAAAGCTCTTTTTCTACAAGCATGCTCTCATTTTTATAAGCATATGGGGAAAATGAATATTTCAAGTTGAAACACAGATGAAGAGATATTAGGTAAATATCAGCCACGGTACTGTATCTAACCGTGTAGCAGCTTTGAACAATGGAAGGTTGCATTCATGACTAAGAGGAGCCACACCCCACACCCGATAAGTTCCTTAGCAAACTAGATCATCCTCTAGATTTGGATGAACAGGATGAGTCCTGTTTAAGCTACAGTATAATCAAAGGTTCAAATACAGAACTTACTACCATCCTTTAAAGATACATGTCTCTGGGAAAAAATGTTTTAAATACAGTTTTCTCTCTTAAAACTTGCAACTGCCAGCAGTGCTCTGTAGCCCAGAAAGTCCACAACAATAGAATCAGACACAAAAAAGGCTTTCATATTTTCCCCGTAAATCAGGTCTCTTGCTTTGGAAATCCCTTAAGTAGAACCTTTTTGAAGGTGGCATCATATTCAGAGCAATATTTCCTGAAATATGCAGCCCCAAACCATATTGGGGTACTCTGTAACTGACCCTGTTTGATACAGCTTTATTCTCTATTCTCTTGATGCTCCTTCCTATAACTTAATCTGTATGATCTTTATGATAACATATTCATGATACAATTTATTTTGATTTAGGCAATAATTTCCTATGACATATTATA